CTCACTCTTGATGAACGTTATGTGAGCATCATTGTCACTTGTTAGATATCCGTCATCAACATATAGTAGTAATAGAGTGATTTTACCTTGATCGAGGTGGAAGTAAAGATTGTAATCAACTTGAGATTTTTTAAGTCCATGGCTCAGCAAGTAAGCTATCACCTTCATGAACCACGCTCACGGTGTCTGCTTAAGGCCATACAGAGCCTTGTGCAACTTGCATGCATAGTTAGGCTTGACTGAAACATCAAAACCACGGGCTAGACATGTAGATATACTCTTCAATAATGCTGTTAAGTAACGTAGTTTTAACGCCCATGTGAAATATGTTCCAGTCGTGGAGTTTTGCTAGCGCCACAACACTCAAGGAAGTGTTACATTTGACCATAGGAGCAATTGTTTATGTGTAGTCTTGTACATGTTTCTGTTGAAAACTCTTAGCAACGGATCTTGCCTTGAGCTTAGCAGTTGAGCCATCGGCGTTCGTTTTGACCCGATACACCCACTTCGTGATAATAGCCTTGCAATCAGAAGGTAAGGGAACTAAATCCCAAGTTCCATTCTTGTAAATTGAAGCTACACTGAAATATAGAAACAACTGCTACTATGAATGCCACAATGGAGCTCGTCATTCATTCACAACAATGAAGCTCGTCATCCATTATGCCACAACGTATGAAGTGTGATAAAGTTGTCAAATTTGGAGCTTTGAATGTAGATTTTGAAGGTTGGATGTTGTAATAATCATTACTTTAGATTGCAATGTCAACTGGAGTTGAAATCTCGTGGGATTGTTAAGTTTGGAAGCATGCACATGCTTGGAAAGTTTCACACACAATGGATGCATTTTGAAGAAGTTGTCAAATTTTGAGCTTTGAGTTAAGTTGTGAAAGCTAGATGTCGCTATAAACATAACTTCGCGCTTGAGTGTCAACTTGAGTTGAAATTTCGTGTGCTTATTAAATTCGGCTAGGCGCACATGTTTGCAAAGTTTTAGCAACAACAAAAGTGTTTCAAAGGAGTAGTTAAATTTGGAGCTTGAGTTTAGGTTGTGAAGGTTGCATGTTGCCCTAGCCATAACTTTGCACTAGAGTTTTAACTAGAGCTAAGATGTTTTGGGGTTGTCCAATGCAGTTGGTTGCACATGCTTGCAAAGTTTCAATCATAATGGAGCCGGATTGAAGAAGTTGTCAAATTTGAGCTTTGAGTTTTTGTTGTGAAGACTAAATGTTGCGATAACCATAACTTCGCGTTGGAATGTAAATTAGAGCTGAAATTTTTTGAAATTATTGAATTTGGCTCCATGCACATAATTGCAAATTTTTAACCACAATAGAAATGGTTTGAAGAAGTTGTCAAATTTGGAGTTTTGAATTTTGGTTGTGGAGACTGGAAGTTGCAGTAGTGATAACTTTGAGATGGAGGGTCAACTAGAGCTAGGATTTTGTGAGGTTGTTAAGTTAAGCTAGACGCACATAGTTGCAAAGTTTCAGTTATAACAAAGTTGGTTTAAAGAAGTATTCAAATTTGAAGTTTTGAATTTATGTTATGCACACTCAATGTTGCGATAACCATAAATTCGCATTGTTGTGTCATTTGGAGATGAAATTTAATGGCATGAAGAACATCGATAAGTGCCACTTGCTTGCAAATTTTAGTCACAACAGATTGTAAACTTTGCAAAGTCATATTGTACCCAAAGTTGGGTACAAGATGATTTTTCAAGACTATATACTCAATCTTCTACAAACGATTTTGCAAGAAATGAAAGTGCTCCGCCAAAAATGCAAGTTACAAAATGTTGCGTTGACTGCTACACATAATTAAATTTGGGATTTGAAGGTATCACACAAAAGTTTGGAGAAGACGATGAAGTATAATTGTTCTATGATGTTTGACATTTGTAGATGTGTTGAGAATATTCAAGAGAAGATTAGTTCTCAAACTTGAACTTTTGTTACTCCTAGATTGCATAAAATGTTCAAAATTCTAGAGGTGAAAATGAAGTCTTATGTTGAAGTTACCAAGTCTACTCATATCTCTTTCAGTCAAGAACAAGAGATTGAAAAGTCAAATCAATTTGCTCGAAGAAAGAATATGAGGATTTCTGATCTACCGGAATCTGAGAATGAAAAGGTGAAAAGTGTTGTCACCAAGTTTACCGCTGAAACATTCCATGTTCCTAATCCGAATTTGGCTCAAGCTTTTTGTATTGGAAACAAAGGAGCCCAAACCTCGTGACATTATCTTTGAATTTGTTGATCAAGCTCAACGTTATACTGCTGTAGCTAACAAGATCATTCTCATCAAATTTTTTATTTAGATCATGATCTTACAAATCTACAAGTTGAAGCAATGAGTAAGTAGCTTACAAAAGTCAAAGAAGCTCAAGCAACAAATTTTGTCACTTATCTACGTGATAATCAAACTATTATTATTCAAAAGAGTAATAATAGCTTGATGATTGTCTTCTCCTCAATCATCAACCAAGCAATCCAAGGGGTTGAGGTTGTACATCTACTTTGCAACTAATCAAGTTGCTCAAAAATTTTGCTTTTAAATTCTTTTTGAGACATGAGATCTTGAGAGCTATGGCTCTTCCTTGCAATGAATGGTATGATTTTGATTGCAAACAAGCAAGTACAAGATCAGTTTATAAATCTTTGGATTTTCACAATGGGCTTATTATGGCAAGATTTTACAAAGATTTGGTGAAGTCTAAGTAGCAAGCTTTTTTGAGACAAAATCAAGAGTGCTTGACAAAGTAGCTGTTGGAGAATCCCAAATTTTTTTGAGGCAGTTGGAAGTATGATCTTCCAAACCTACTCTTGATCCAAATCTTTGATTTCTTTTGCTAAAGAGTTTCATTTTTTTTCCAATTTTGCATCAATGCCACGTTTTGAACGTAAACTTACCTTATTTTCTGAAATCGAAGTGATGACTCAACACAAAAAATTTGCAAATGCTAAATGTGAGTATTGGAGGGTATAGTTATTGAACTTCTCAAGTGGAGAGGAGATGCTATTGGATCTATCCTCACCAAAGTGTTAGAAAATGCTCCTATCCATGATTTTCTTTCAACTTGGTCTCTACAGAAGATTGTTCTTAATCACAAATCTAGAAGCAAGGACTTTGATGACAAACTATTGCTTTGTCATGATGGATAGTATTTTTGCCAAGTTATTTGGCAAATTGATGGAGTCAAAGTTCAACACATGGACTGAATCTTGTCAGAAAAGAACGTGGTTCCAAGCTGGTTTTTGTTCTACATTCAACATTATAGACCATACGTTGGTTTTGCATGTTTTATGGAAGAAATCTAAGAGTAATGAAAAAGCTTTGTTTTGTGCTTTCAATTTCAAGAAAGCTTTTAACACTTCTCTACATCTTTACGCCTTCTTATTGCTCAACATTGAACATGATCTCATAATCTTAGAATTGAGGAAGGTTGTTGGTTGAACATTGATACGAATGAACGTATGTGATGGAAGAGAAGTTGAATATGAAGAGAATATGTATGTTACTTGTACTAGATAAATAGGAATTAGAATGGGTCATAAAGTTATTATTGAGAATATTTATTCTTTATTATAGCTAAAGCTATAGTTAAGAATAAAAATTATGATTTAGGTTGTTTTATGAGGAATTTTATTAGTTATCTTCTAGTGCTTTAGGCACTAGTTAGGGATTTCTTTTTGTTATCTTCTAGTTCGGAGTTGGATTGTTTGTATTGTGTTTTTTAACCTTTTGATCATTTGTGTCTCACGAGCTTGATTTATTTATCATTTATCCGTCTATGAATATAACAAGACATTAACCTAACTAAATATTTTTTAAAAAATCCATTTTTGTGTTGAATTGTTCAAGTGACATTTAAAATATTGAAATTTCTAAAATTTCAAATTGTCAAAAAATAAAACTAGTACTTAATCAGAATTTTAATATGTAATTAAAGATTTCAAGGGTTAGACAAAAGAATGATTATTATCCATTGTGTTCAGAAAGCTTTATGTAGATATCTTTGCATGTTTGGCAGAATATTTTCATTATTTAATCATCGTAATTACTTTTCTCTCTCTCCAGTTGGTTGGAATTCATAGTTAACTCTAATTATAACTTCTGCAAATTACTCATGACCAATGCTAACATTTTTATGTTTTGTAAAATCCATAGATGTATGTGTATATGTTATAACATACATACATACAAAATTATGTATATGGAATCTGAGGATACTTTGAGAAAAACAACATGTATTGAAAAATATCTCATTTATAAAAAAATCAAAATTATTCATAGAAAAGGATGACACGAGCGATATAATAATATGATAATATCATAAACACTTCAAAAAACATATGTGGTAAACGTCATGATGTTATTGCGAGGTCAGAATGAGCAAAATGAGCTTATAAATATTGAGTTATGAGAGTCCACTTTTCATCTAATAATCACATCTTAGAGATCTGATCAGGTGCTGGATATAATATTAATCAGATGAACCTTGATTCATCAAGAGAAAGACATCAAATATCTATATCAGTAGGTTAAATGTCACGCTAGTCCACTCTAGTGTTGCACCTAGTGCACTCTAGTGGGTTGATGTTAGTTGTTACTATTGCTTTTCAACTTGTCACCATCAAATGATTTTCTCTATAAGCAAACTGGGCACGGGGTCAAGTAGATAGCAAAAAGTGGGGAGACGCCACACGATGAAACGAACCTCGTAACTAGGGCCTTACTAACCTTGAGAAATATATCAGACGCATATCGGAACCATGGAATGAAGAAATCCATGATACATGAATGCTGTCAGCGGGAGATCGGATGGAATCGCAGATTTGGACAACATGTTGGTCGATAGACTGCAGACGTCCGGAGGGAGGCATATGACGGTAGGAAAAAGGCCGTACGTAGGAGCCGCCCATACGGACCGTAGAGAGACCACGTGGCAGATGCGCAGAGAAATTGGAAAAGCGAGCGACGAGCTCTTTGAAGCCAAAGCGGTCGAATGACAGCGACGGACAGTCAGAGCTCTCTCGAGCGATCCTGCATTGTCCCGCTTGAGCGAGCTCGCTCGCCTCGTCCATCGCCCAAGGCCCGAAGGGAGCGAGCATTGCCAAGCGTGCCAGAAACAAAGGAACAAAGAAACGAACAAGGAAAGAGAGAGAGAGGAAGGACGAAAGTGAGCGAGCGAGGGAGGCGGTGCAACTAGGGACTTTTTATATGACTTGACCACGTCGTCGTTCGCCTCTTCTCCTCCGTCGCTGTGTGCCGAAGTGGGAAGGAGGCCGCTCTGAATGAAGAAAGGACTAACGAAGGTGAGCTTCGATTCGCTTTCCTATCCTTCTGCTGCCTTCCATCGGCCGATCTTCTTTCGTTTGTAACATCTGGGTGATCGCGATCAGCACTACGCCACGCCACTCGACCGGGACGCGAACGAATGCTTTAGGTAACGAGGCAAGTGAGGGACCGAGCTAGCTTTGGGGAGCGTACGAGGGCTTCTTGTTTGTTTGCCCGTCGCAGAATGTGCATGAAGTACCAATGGTCCCTGTCTATCGTCGCAGAGAGTTTTTGCGGTTCCTTCACTGCTTATAAACAGAGTTTCTCGAGAATGAGTCAAATTGACGATCGTCCTCAGTTTTCGATGTTCTCTCCAATCTGATGTCTCATCTCGCCATCACAATTCTCCAAGTGAGGTTTAAAATTTTTAGAATTTCAATCGTGACCACTGTAGTCCTGCAACGAAGATAAAATTAAGTCGAATTACTAGGTGGAGAGTCTGTGAATTGAACATGAGGTTCGGATTCCTTACGCTGTTGAAGCCGGACGACTTAGAGAATTTTCTTGTGGCGGGCTGGTACCTGAGATGTGCCACATAGTTGGAAGATGATGTTCTCGTTATGATTTAATCTCCTCTATGCTTGATTGAGAAGTGGATTTCTCTCGTTGGTCTCTCTAGGTTTTCCTTGCCCTGGAATATAAGAATATTTGCTTGTTTTGGAGCTGGATTAAGATTGTGAGTAGAATTCTACATTGTGCATGTTTCACATAAAACCTAGTGATCTCACTGAAAGTTGTACTGTACCTGGGTCATATTACCTGATACATGTCGTCAATAGTTTGACTCTACAACCGTAGGTCAATGCCCTCTCATGTCAGCTCTTTTGCTAGTCTTGCGTTGAGCTTTGAAGATTGGAGTCGTTTTTGTGAAAGTAAAATTGAACTTGGATGTAAGAAGCAAGAGTCGAACGGGGCTAAGGGCTGTATGCAAAATTAAGGAGGGATAAGCGTCGGTTGCAAGGAGCAGATTCTTGAAGATGATGACGTCGTCAGTGCGGAAGCATGGATAGAAGCAAATCGACATCCACTAACCTTTTGTATTGCACAGTTGGTTCTGAGAGAACGTGTTTGTTTGCAACATGCTCACCATCTCTACGCTCTCGAAGATGTCGTGTTTTCAAAATCACACGTATTTAGACGTTGTCGATTAACACTCTATTCTTATTATCTGCTAGCAATAAACGAATCATACACACTGATGAAGCATACCTATGACATAATATCAACTTGATTTTTTGTATGAGAAGCTACATTTTATACTTCCGAACTTTTCATGCTGGTCGTAGCAGTGTTTGCCCTCTTGTCTCTGGACCTTTGCTTTCTTCACCTTAGGTTTATATTTTGATAATTACTTCGCATAGCTGGAACACACCTTAGAAAATGGTGTTGGTATTTGTGAATGATATCTTTTTTCCGTGATCTTTATGTGGGCTGTCGTTGACAACGGCTACGTTGTGAATAATTGCGCAGGGGTATGTTGGGATTGAGTGAGGGGATTGGAATTCCTGGTGAAATTTCTTCTTAGAATGGATCTCTCGGCAAGTCGACTTCAGAGAGCATACCATGTACTTTCTCTCTTCACAACTTTCCTCACTATATTTTTATTCTTTTGCTTAAATGTGTTGATTCTCTTTCATTCGGTAGTAGATATAATATCTTTTTATCTTTTGTCGTTATGTATGGTTATCAATCATGGTATCTGTACTTACAGGAACATTGTGGTAGGGTGATAAGTATGTACAGAGCTTATGACTGAAAACATGCATAATTGATAACTATCCAGAATTACACTCTCCACCTTGTTGGTGTTTCGTTGTAGGTAGGAGGTGCTCTCTCTGCTGTAACAATGGACTTGGCCTAATCGCGATGTACGTCATGATGCAGACATTTCTGTAACGAGGGTCGCACTCTTCAATTCTAGGTCTTTAAATTTTGGAAAGAGTTGGTATTTTACATGTTGTCTAATAATCCTGTATTTCTCTCTATCCAGGCACTGCTGAAGGCAGTTTCAGACGTGCTAGAGGCAAAAGAAAGTGCTGATTCTCAGTAAGCTCCCTGTACCATTTTCGGACCCTTTAGTTATTGTTTGTTTGTGGAATCTCTAATGATATTGACTCTCTGTGCATGCTTCATCTCTTCGTTTCCTCTTTACGGAAATCTCACCATCTGGATGCCGGTTTTGACATTGTTGTTTGATCTTTATCAGCCGGACCGCAAGAACGGACGCAGCTTTGGAGCACTTTTACAGTACTTTTCAGCTTTTCCAGGCAACCTGCGACCAAGCTCAAGAGTTTGTGGTACTGTATTGAACCTCTTCATTCTTCAAGCTCCAAGTTAGTCGCACACGAGGACACTGGGTTTATGACCTAGAAACTAAGTATATCTCTAATCGGTTCATCTTTGTGCTCCCTCAATTTGTCACATTTTTGGTCTTATAGACCAAAAATGTGACAAAATTACCCGTACTACTCAGCTCTGTGGATCTGATGGATCTGATCCCATTTACCATTTTTTTTAAGATGGTCGAGACTTCGCGTATGTTTGTGCTTTCTCCCTCCCTTATAATCCGGGGAGGTCCATCTTTAGTTACAGTAGTGAACCTTTCTTGACGCCACGGGTAGGCCAAATTTGCTAAGTAATCTGTCTACAGTTATCTTTGACCTCTGTCTGGATTGTACTGGGTCAAATTGGTATGTATTCAACGAGTTTCACGTTGCAAATAGAAAAGATTGGAGAGCTTTGTGCCTCAGATTGCTGATTTGTCTAGAGAATGTTTAGATGGTATTGTTACTCAAACGCTAGGCGATTGGAAGTTTTTCGTAAGATCGATGAGTTGCGGAGTTCAAAGCATTGCAGTTTTACATGGTAAATTTTGCGATAGTAAGGTGAGATACTGAGGTTACAGCGAGTTTCAGACTATGACTCTGTAGTTGTGGGTATGTGCAGGATTCGGTGAGGCAGAGGATAGGATCGGAGTGTATCGTGGACGAAGCAACTGGCCCCATATCTCAAAAACTAATCAAACTGTCGGAAGAAGGAGCGAATAGGTCAGCAATTCCACCACTCAGTGCTACCAGGTTGGAGCAGATGAGCAAGGCAGTTCGTTTACTGGTTCTAGAGTTGCAACCCAGCTCAAGTACCGCGATACCCCAACCATCGATCGACAGCAGACCAGCGGACGACATGTCTCACTAGCTTGTTATCCTCGCTTTTTCATGAAGTGCACCTGTCAAAATGAGGATCCGGCGCTTCACTGCTGCAGTTTCAATCAGTGAGAAAAGAACATAAGAAAAGTTCCGTAGAGCCTATCACCTGTCTCCGAGGCAGTGGCTTTGAAGTTGTTCGAGGGTGGCGAGGAGTTGTTGCTGTCCAGCAAAACGGACTGATAACTTCCTGGGTCGTGAAATAAACTGTTTTGCTGCTACCCGTCTTCTTTGACAAAACTGTCAATGGGCCGGCTACTATTTTACGACATTTTAGACAAACCTGCTAGTAGTATTATCATAGGCTTCTGCTCGGTGATATGGTTATACATTCAGAAGAAAGGTCTTGGATACGCGAATTTGGGGTTAAGCTATGAAACAGTGGTGTCAGGAGGACAACACTGGCGTCTTCTGACATCTGCTTTTTCTCACATCAGTTTTCTGCATCTGGTGTTCAACATGAGCTCTCTCTGGAGTTTAGGAGTCATTGAGGCCCTTCCGCAATTAGGTCTCGGTATCAGATATTATTTACACTACACTCTGGTATTGTTGACCGCATCTAGTTTAGTAGTTTTGGGCTTCTATCACATCCTGATCCACCGATTCAAGTTCGACTTTTACCGACGGGTCACGGCTGTGGGTTACTCTTGTGTAGTTTTTGGATGGATGACTATTCTTTCCGTTAAGCATCCTTCTTCCAAGTTGGAACTCTTTGGTCTTCTTTCACTTCCTATTAGCTATGCCCCTTTCGAGTCCTTAGTTTTCACGTCCATCATTGTTCCCCAGGCAAGCTTCCTAGGGCATCTGTCAGGTATACTTGTAGGCTATATGATAGCTTGGAATGTATTTCAAGGTATGACCGACTTCTGGGCCATAACTTTTCTCGGTTGGTTGGTTGTAATGTTCGTCATTAGCTTGAAGAAAACCTCTGAATTTGACATACCCTTTCTACATGTTGAGTCAGTTGCTGACGTTATTATGCCAGCAGTAGGTTTAGATACTTCTTTCAACTTAGAGGCCACAGACGAGAATACTTTGCCACTTGAAGGGAGCGATTTAGTATAGATCTGAAGGATGTCAACCTGCTGGAGTCTTCATAGATTATGGAGCAATAAAAGAACATCTCGTATGAGATAGATTCTTTAAATTCAAAATGACAAATTTCTAGTGTTACATGATTGCCTTTCATTGAATATTCTTATCTTTTGCTCCTTATTTGCTAATCGCTAGTCGTAACGTTGCCGTATGGTGGGCTGTCAGCTTTCTTGATCTTAAACTCGGATATTGTGGCTATCTATATGCCACCGGTCAAGTTTTTGCCTTGGCTTCTGCCCGAGGTTAGTAAGGATATGGCATTTCTGTGACCTTTTATTTGTGATATGTCTCCTGCCTTTTGTTAGGGTTCTATGTACGGATTTCCGAAATCCTTGAAAATCAGAAGTTGGTATCCGATGGCCCCGTCTTAGTTTTGAGCAGGTGGTGTCAAGACCGAAGATTTGTTCCATTTGTGGGTCTTTCATGAGGTGCCTGTTGCATATTATCAGGTCTCCTCGATATCATATCCAAAGTAAATAGTACATGCTATTGTACTACTTAAGGAGAGGGAAATATGTTTGGAACATATGTTTCAACGTCCGAACATATCTAAGTTTTTCAATGCTTATGTCCGATAAGACCGTGGCATTACCCGAGGCTTTGTAAGAGAAAAGTTTATGGACGTTGTCTGTGAAGTGGTGAGTGCGGAAGGAAGGATGCGCATAAGCACCAAGAAATTCAAGAAGCAATACTGTAGGCTTAACAATGAACTTTGTGAAACATCCAATGTGGTATGGTAGAAGGTCTGAGATCTGGTCGGGTTGCCGTTTGCAGTACTAATATTGTTGCTGCATTACATGAGAAGAAGCTTAGAGCACGTCTGGGAGCTTTCCAAACTATGGTCACATGAATCGTGTTGACCTATTCTTATTACAGTGTACACTATCATCATATCAGTTGAGCTATATATGTCTTTAGGTTGTGTGTGGGTTTTACTTGTAAGATATGTGTGAATTAACACGTTAATAGTTAATAGTTAATTGTGATGATGATAACACGCTCAAGGGTTCAAATTTATGAATTCAAAGGCCACGAAAACTTCAAGACATCCATCTTATCATCCGTCTTCTTTTTTTATCATTGTATTTCTTTTTCCACTTATCTTGAGTTTGTATAACTTCGAATTAAACATAATGTCCAAAGCTACATTCCCTTCTCTGATGTTTATACGATTATAAAATGTTTGTGTTCAGACAAAACTGAAGAGCCAATGCTAAAATTTGACTTATAAATGTTCACATCATAAAAGAGATATATTACTCCCAAAGTCCGTGCAATATATGTAATTGTTATTTTTTTCACCATGTAAAACATGATATACAATCTTTTTAATATATCAATTCATGTTTGACTTTAATGAGTTTGTTCCTGATTTGAATAGTTTGGAAACTCATGAACCTTGGCTTTCTCATGCATAAGTGTTTATGAAACATCTTCATCCATTGTTTTTCCAGAAGCAATATATTCCATCTTTGCTTCATCTACATCTTCATCTCTCACAAATAAATAAAGACTAGTTTTTATGCAACACGAATGTGATTCAAATGGACCGCAAAAGATATCCACTTAAGATTCCACACGGTGTAAGAAGATTGATAGCTCACATTGTTCATGATAGTGTGGACACACATTGCATTCAATTCTGATTATGGTAGACCAAAGTCTGGTGGAAGAGAGCCATGTTAGTGTCGCAAACTTTGCGAAAACATATTCCACACAAATATGTAGAATGGCTGATATTTTAAACATATATCTGGACTAGGGAAGCATCAACTGCCAAGGTTTCAAAATACAGGGATGCGTCAGCCTTCATAACACCTTAACTCTCGACTAGAAATTTCTATCCAAAGTGCACAAAAGTCGGATGGAAGATTTGCTGACTGCAACCTCGAGAAGTTGCAGCTCTGCCACGTCACGGGGCCGGCCAGATGGCAGCCAGATCGACGACGTTTGGCAAGGCATGGGGCGGAATGGTGCAACCGGTAGCAGTTGGGAAAGCCCCGAGTGCACATGTGGACGGATGAGCGCTGCGCTCGAGGGAACGAACGAGCTGCCGATGCCACCCGACGTGGAATTCGCGTTGACCCACGCGACGAGAGGGCAGACATGTCACGGAACGAATTCGCCGCTGAAAGGCGGTGCGAGAATGTGCTCCGAGATGGCGATGGACAGCGAGGCCGAGGCTCCGAGCCTTCGAGGTTTGGCAGAGCGGGGCCGGAGAGCGCGGGCATATGAAGCCGCAGGATTGCTCGCAAATATGCTTTTAGAACAGTCGGACATTCTTTGCGTGCAAAGGGCCGTGTCAGGGGAGCTCGATTGGAGTTGGAATCGTCGATAAAACCGGGGAAGGCCTAATTCTATTTGCCAGGCGCGGGGAGGGAGGGGAGGGTAGGGGGTTTCAGCTATGGCATCGAGGGCGAGCAGAGCGCTGCGAGCGTATGCATCTCCTGGTGGATTCATTCATCTATGGCGCCGGGGATCGAGAGGATTTGCCACCAGTACCAGCGCGCTTCCTCGTGGAGGGTCGGATTCTGGGGCCGGCGGAGAGCTTTCGTCCTCAGACCTTATCCAACACGAGATTCTTTACAGTGCGCACAAGTGAGTAGATTGCTCTTGCCCTGGGAATTCCTCGTTACAGTCCTCCATGCTTTGTCTTCGCCTTGCGGGTTCGCAGAACCCGCAAGGCGAAATTTGGAGGAATTCATTTTGAAGAGAAGGGAGATGGAAGAGTGTCGTATGTATTGCGGGTCAGACTGGTTGGAAACGTGAGTCACTAGACGCAGCCGAAGCGTTACGTTAGGATTAATTGTTGATCACCCGGAAAATCACAACTGTCACAGTCCGTCGTTCCATGGATCACATCGCAAACCAACCAATGCACGTGTACTGGAAGTCATCTAGAATGCCCAACACGAAGAGTTTGTTTGCATAATTTCTCGAATGGGGTTCGAGCTCGGATGCTAGCATTTCGAAAAAAATCTTACAGAATAGAAAACAGTCATTCCGAAGCATCGCCGAAAGCGATGCACAAAATTGAGATGCTGTCGTGGTGGGTGCCGTCTGGGCAGAGTTCCAATGTCCCACGATTGCTGCTCTGCTCGCCTTAGCACATTTAGTAGGTATATATCGCGATTCTTTCCTAATAGGGTATTAGGGCCGAAATAAGATGGGTCTACTGCATCGAAGTTTTTGCTGCCTAGGAAACTGTAGGTCAGATTATGTCGCTCTGATTTCCCTTGATCTTGAACTTGTGAGGGTTCAGAAGGACTTTGCTGGAGCATCTATCGAGTTCCAACTCGATAGATGCTCCAGCAAAGTCCTGCTTCTGATAGTGAATCCACTAAAAATTATGCTGTTGACATTGGAGATGGTTATTGTGAACTTAGCTGTGGAATCAAGTGTAACCTTAATACAGAGTACGTGAGGAACGACTGATGATAATGTTTTGTCTTTAACTCTTGTCCACCTTACATTACATGTTTCACCTTCTACCGAACAATACTTTGTGATCAATGAGTTCATGCGCAAGACATCTTCATTGCATGAGATTTTGTGAGCTCTTAGCTGAAGCTTGCTGGGTTGTTGATCTGATTTTTCCGGTGACCTTCGCAGTTATCATCCCATTCCAGTTGTATTTGCTCGTGCAAAAAATGCTCTGGTGTGGGACCCTGAGGGACGTCAATATCTCGATTTTTTGTCTGCTTACTCGGCCGTCAATCAGGTACGGCATATCTTCTTTCTTGCAAGGAATATTTATGCTTACTTCTTGATGTGACCCTCCTGGAGTCAATGTTCATGCCTTGGCTTGTGGTTAAACGGCCAGTTTTGACTGTTGTTCAAAATTAATCGTGAAGTTAAAATATTGCAGGGTCATTGCCATCAAAAGATTCTTGATGTTCTAGTGGAACAATCTCAACGCCTCACCCTCAGCTCGCGTGCATTTCATAATGACAAATTCCCCACATTTGCCAGGCTTCTTACTCGCATTTTTGGGTATGACATGATGCTGCCAATGAATACCGGAGCAGAAGGTGTAGAGACAGCCCTTAAACTTGCGAAGAAGTGGGGCTACATGAAGAAGGGCATTACCAAAGACGAGGCAAGTGCGGGTGTGCTTTTTGCACTTCAGAAGTTACTGGGTCCTACTAGTGTTTTGGATGTTCATGATTAGAGTATTTGTGTTATGCCTAGGAAATAGCACCGCACAGCCAGGACCGGCTATGACATGCACACACAGTCATAATCACGAATCTATTTTGAAGGAGAAGATGGGGATTGCTAACTATTTTTATTTTTTTAAACAAGCAACTTTTTAGAGCCAGTATTCCTTTAAGAGGGTAGGACGGAGAAATCAACTGTTATATCTGTAGCTTAAGCACATGCCATCGTATTTTCTTGCAAGCTAAATGTGGCACACATACGACACGCTAACATCATTTTTACTGTGTTTTAGGATCGTTCAGGCCTTGATTGTTTCGTGCTGTGGTTGCTTCCATGGTCGAACCTTGGCTGCTGTATCTATGAGCTGCGACAATGATGCCACCCGAGGATTTTCGCCCCTTTTGGGTGGGAACCTCAAAGTTGACTTCGGCGATGCTGATGCCCTTGAATCTATATTCAAAGGTGAGTGGTGAAAAGCTGCTCCAAGGGTTATCCAATTTCTCGAACATGAGAAACTGGTTAGAGGATAAGTTGTGATGTATTTTGAAAAGAAGGATCAAGAAGCTTATAGTGCAACTTGAAGAGCTTTGGAGAATTTTAGCTGGTTATGTTGCATCAAATTACGCGAGGGAATACAGTCTCCCTAGTATGGACTCCTAAACACGGATTGGTTCTCAAGTTTCTTAGCAGTTTGTACTTGGTTAGCTTCAAGAGACGCAGTCTGTAAATTTCGTTCCTTCTGCCTTATATGGGCATCTGTTCTGACTGTGGAGTTGCTTGTGATCCATTGGTTTGGATGTAGAACATGGAGACAATATTGCAGGGTTTCTTTTTGAGCCTATCCAGGGAGAAGCCGGGGTAAGTGACCACAACTGCCAAACTTCAGAAATTTGCTTATCAGTTGCCTACCTTAACTTTTTGGGCAAAAATTAACCCTGAAGTCTTTACACCTCAGGTTATAGTTCCACCTGAAGGCTACCTTCGGAAGGTTCGAGAGCTGTGCTCGAAGTACAACGTATTGATGATTGCGGACGAAATCCAAACAGGGATGGCTCGCACTGGCCGTCTACTAGCAGTCGAATGGGAGAATGTTCGACCCGATGTCGTTGTAAGGTTCCTCACGTATACATTATTGTCGATACTTGTCGATTAGGATAGCTCAGCCAGTTGAAACCGTTCTTGCTTGGATGTTCGTGTTCTGTTTCATTTCTGGGGCCCGAATATGGGTCTTCCTCAAAATGTTTCTCAAGCTTTGTCAACATATCTCGACGTTGACAGATTTTAGGGAAAGCCCTCGGCGCAGGAGTTTTGCCAGTTAGTGCAGTACTTGCAGACAAGGAAGTGATGCTTTGTATCCAGCCTGGTGAACATGGCAGGTAATCTCCGAACCCTTTTTTTTTTATGTGAATTGTATCAGCAAACTTTCGTGATGATCAAGTTTTTGTACGCTGCAGTGATTTCGATCATGAAAGACGATTCAAAAGGAACGATTCAAAAGTTCTTTAGTGTCACAATGCATCTCAAACGTGATCAAATAGGCATGCTTGTCCAGTCTGCCTTCTATGTCAACTGATTAATGGCTGAAAGTCGATTATTATGCTCCTTTGCATGTGATGTCAGCACTTTCGGAGGAAATCCACTCGGTAGCGCAGTGGGTATAGCATCTTTGGAGATAGTCCAAGAAGAATGTCTAGCAGAAAGGTATGTACGTGGTGATTTATGATCCTTTGAATGATCTTTTTGCCAAAATATGCATGCTCTGGACATAACTTTATCTAAATTTAATTGGGAGAATACGGTCGATGAGCTCAGGAAGAGGTTCACAACTGTGCAGGGCTGATGAACTCGGCGAGAAGCTCAGGGAGTCTCTCAGGGAATTACAAGTCAGACATCCAGATGTCATTAAGGAGGTCAGAGGTCGGGGTCTCTTGAATGCAGTGGAGATGCACCCTGTTGGTTCGAGCAAAGTCACTGCCTACGACGTTTGCCTTGCATTGAAAGAGAGAGGAATATTGGCCAAACCAACTCACAATACCATTATTAGACTTTCTCCCCCGCTGACTATTACGTAAGTCATTACATTTTCTCGTTGATCCTTTCGTCATTTTTATTTGATGCAACTGTTTGGAAGTGCAGTTCAAAACTCAACTTCAGTCCAACTCGAGGTGCCTAAGCCCTCGGACCACACGAATCATATATTACATTTTAGTTTCAAATATTTTCTATATATTGATATCCGATTCAATCGTTTGATTAGATTTAGGTTGTAAGACAGTCATGTGGAAATATTGATTTGGAAAAATTTGCCGATGGTGGACAGTACTTGATATATAAACATGTGGGCTCTTGTAGTGAGGAACAAATACAGGAGGCAGTGAAGGCTTTTGGGAGTGTGCTTGAAGACGACTACTCGCACTTGAAGGATCTGTCAAGCAAACGTGGTTCCTTACAGAAGCCAGAACCTTGCGACCGATGTGGTCGTGTAAAATAGACGAATTTGCTGTGTCATATTGCGTAGACTCCGGTTCCCAGAATATCCCACAAATGTGCTTCTTGGCAGATTGTACATATGATGATGACATTTGGATTTCGGTAAATATTGTATTTTTTGAATGGCACTGAACTGTGTATGGGATGAGACTTCATCATCTATTTTTCTTTCTTATGTACACTTTATGGAAATCGGAATTCATGTTTCTTTGACGTTTGGGTGTCTCCGTACGCAACTCTCACTATCAACCGGAACCAGTTCCAGTTCGGCCACTTCACATGGGAAGGCAGATTTGAGTGTGAGCTACGGTTATCAGGAATCTGCACATAATTACACTAAATTGAGTTGAATACTAACAACTTGACCTCAGTGATCCCACCTGCCAGGTTGGCTTTGAAATATCCTCCTCAGAAAACTAAACGCCACGCAGATAATTACCTTTCAGGCTCACGCAATAGCGGTCATGTTTGGGCTATGACGTTCTCATTAGCATGCTTACGCCATTACTGTAAGTCGATTTTCCATTCAGAAGATTACATTTCTGTCTTCCGCTTTCTAAGATTCAGGATTTAAGCGTTTCAATGCAGCTCGAAGTTGAATCCTCCTGCCAGCCAAAATTTCCACCTCATTTCTTTTGTTTCAACGGTGATATATGCAGTATTTCATTCAGATTTCCCTTGAAAAGAACCTCCGATCCAGTTCTGCTCTACATCTGCACAAGTTTATGTGAGATAAAACCCGAGCACCGCGTACATTGTCGACCCGTTATTTAACACGAAAAATACCCCTCATTTAAATGTGAAGTGTTGGCAGGGTTCTTATCAGTCAATCACTATAAGCTGCCTGTAAAGCTTGAATCGTCCCACGCTCAAGTGGATTCGAAACTTTCCGCATCAGAACTTAATACGGTAAAATAAGAAATTGAGGAGCGCGAGTATTGTTTTCTGGTGACTGTTGGATGTGAAGTTCACTAGTCTTCACTTGATGTTCACTAGTCACCACTTAACCTCTTCGTGTGGAGTGTGGGTGAGAATTATTAAACTAATCTGAACCATTGATTTCTGGTTCTTTATTAAAACCTGCAATAGTAGGGTTTTTTTTCACATTCCAAGTTACAAAATTGTTCACATCGAAAGTAATTTGCTTGATGGGACCCTTCAGGTTTCATTTTACCCGATGGGACCCCATGAACGATGCACCGTCACCCATGTTCTAATAACAACTAGAGAGAGTGCAACGAGTCAACCGCACCCGCGGACAGAGTGGACTTCGCACTACATCACACTCACTTGTTTTTATGTTGTAAATCTGTATCTTGCCACTCCCCGAGAGCAAAAGAAATGTTCATTCGGAGTTTATTTGTTCGCCACCAATGGATGATCGCGAGACTTGAGCTCGGACCACTTTCCGGTAAGAGCTCCTCGCCGCATACACAGGGTTACGGAAAGAGTGTGCAGGTGGGAGGCAGCAGAGAAATCCGCGAGAATAGGTGCGATCGGAAGAATTGAAGCACAACAAATTGCACTCCGAGCAAAATCGATCTTTGTCCCCGTGATAATCCACCAGAAATTATAATCATGGATTGATCTCTGATTGTAATCCCCGTACTGTAACTAATAGTAATCGTAATTCCAAGAACTATGTACGACGGCACACCGTCTTTGGATCCCATCGGGTAAAACTAAAACTGAGGGGTCTCATCAAGCAAATCTCTATAAACTTGTACTTTCATCAGCTGACATGAAATTCCTGGAGCTTTTATCACACTTTTGTGTGATATTTTAAACTACCGAATTTAATTTTGTGCACCAGTGACATGGCAGGCGGAGCCACGTCAAGCTTGCCACTAATGCGACCGAGAGTAACATGAAGGGTGCAGCATGTTAGAACCATCAATTTAACCCCATTAACACCTATAACTTTCGACGAATCCACTCATACCGTATATTAGGGTTAAAGATAATTAGTCCAAAGTGAGTGATAACTAGTACATCACTTTTAAGTTGTAATTTGTCATAAACATTGTCATAAATGTATTTAATTTTTGTAATTTGAAACTTTTAAACTTGTAAAAAAGAATTCTTTCTATGAATTTTCAAAAATTAACAAATAATATTGTCTTACACACACATGAAAAAATCAAGAATCCACCAACACAAGCACTAAGACATAAGTTCGTGATTGTAGATCCAACGCGAAGAGAATCACATATTGATGTATGTATTTGGCTTCCACAAGATGTAAATTTTACTAAAGAAAATAAATTACATTAGACCTCCATAGCCAAACTCTTGACTATCTCTCTTTTCATTAGATGTACATGAAAGACTTGGAGTGAATAGTGATCATACATATTATTAAATATCCACACTACGAGTCCAAACTTAATATTAATTCTAACTAGAGTGCAAGTTTAGCTAGGGTTAACAAGACATGATTTTACCTTATTCCAATTTGCCACTATGGACTATATCCATGCAAATACAATAGTTTTCACTGAAATTTTTCTAAAGTGTTATCAAGAGATTTTGCTAAATTTCTATAAATTTTTGACAAATTCACTTAGATTTCAAGTAGGATTAAGCTAATATAAGTTTAAAAAGATCTGAGTTAACACATGACATAAAGCTAACTCATGCTTGTAATTTTTTTAATTAATAAGTAAATTAAATATAAATAAAATTTCTTCTGCATAAAATCTACTTCGAAATATTTTAATGTTAATTTACAACCATTTTTATCCTATCAATATTTAATTTTCTTTCTTTTATGTAATGCAAAATAAATTCAGCAATTTAGCAATAAAAATGATATTGTGCAATTAAGCAATGAAAATTTAACATTCAAATTATGCAGATTTATATGCAAATATGAAATGTTTATTTTTCAGAATTTTATAAAAATCTTGCTTGAAATGAGTGAAACATTTTGAATGAAATTTTTTTACTTTGAATATTTGATAATACGATCAATCAAAAATCATCTTCTAGATGTGGTAGATTAGCTTTCTATTTTAAACTTCATTGTATATGTTTAAGTTATTTTGTTTTACCAAACTGAATCATGAAATTGACTTGAAAACGTTGAGTCGAAATTGCAAGATTTTAACACAAGTTTATTTATATTATCACGCTACACAAAAAAGTGAAAAAATCTTTCATTTCAAAGATAAGTAAAAGTGTAATCTGTGATTTTTCTTGAAATTATAAGTGAAAAAATATTGATTTTTTAAAATACATATGTTAATATTTCATATGATCCTTTTCGCTATAAGCACCATAAGATTATCTTCACTTGCAACATGCTTTTTAATGATCTGAAAAAGAAAGTAATGCACATCAAATATAGTCAATAGCTTGATCATTATACTTTAGAAATATGAAAATGGATACATATGAGTAATTAATGTTAGGATTATAGTTTCAAAAATATTTCAATGATTTCAAAATATTATTAAAAGAATCCTGTTTGTGTTGCAATCTTATGTTATGCGATTTGTATGTAATGCGTGGAAGAGAAGTCTGTAAAAGAAAAGGATATTTGAAAATGCATATCAACGACATAAACCCTAAACCTTGATAAGGTAAAACTATGTCAGACTCGATAGTTCGCACATGCTTAGTGCCAGAATCTTTTGCTGAGTGTAAGCTTTTGTATTTCTAATATACTTATGTGACCACTTTTCCAATGTAGACATTTGGGACAAGAGGTTGTGGCAGTGCTCCACAAGTCTACACTTCACGAAGTTCAAAGTTTTCCGACATCAAGGAGATTTCGTTTGCATGCTCTAATCCGTTACATATCCATCCCCACCATTGGAATCAAATCCCTTCGTCTCCCTCTGTTATCTATCCCGATCCACGTAGAGCAATCTAGGGCGGCGTGGTTTTACACGTACTTTACAGTTTCGACTCCTCTTGTACGATCCTCCACTGCATAAATTAAATGGCAGCAAAGTGCTCACCAACTTCCCTTTCGAGATGGTCCACGCTATTGCGCAAGTGCCTTCGATGAATCAATCGGTTATGGGCTACATCCAAGTAGAGAACGTGTTCTCAAATAACGTCAAGTAGTTCTTTATGATGAATAGTACCGAATCCGGACTTTTCCTCGTGTTATGTCCTCGGCTTTTGTCTCCTGAAAGCATGGTCAGAAGACAGTGGATGGACAGCGGGTTGGCTGTATGGCTAGGGCTCGAGGTCGTCCTCGTTTCGGAACGAAAACGAAGACCTTCTGGTAGCCCGTGACGGCAATGAAGACAGTTTACTCTGTCATCGCAGTGGCTACTTGCTAAAGGAGCCTTTGTACTCTTCTTCTGTAGCTGAGAAGGGCATCTTTCTTGTAACGAGGATGGCCTTTCGTCACATGGTTGTTGAAGAGAGTGTACGTCCTTTGATACAGTGTAAAACCTGGTATTCGTCCTCACATGTAGCCCCTGGTGTACTACCGTTCTGAATGATTCTTACTACAATCATACTGTGAATAATTTATCTTCGTATGTTCACCTGAGTTATTGCAGAATATACAATCTTGGCTGTTATGAAAATTGACTCTAGACACTGTGGATAAATCAACTTAATTCTCGAGTTTCATACCGTGTATATAAGACATACAGTACTGCAGTTATGTACTTGAGTCAAGATGTCCGATGAATGTGAAAAATGGTAGTCTATAATCCTAAACATGAGACTTACATTTCATCAATCCTAAACTTCATCAACCTAAACTTCTAAGTATAGGAATACATACCCATCCATCTCCTTTTTAACTTTCTTTATAAAATCAATGAAGATATGGACATAGAGTCTATGACATAGTTAATCAGGTGATGTTGAAGAGATTATCATACTAAAAATCAAGGATTATTGAATATGTAATTTATTATACAGATGATTTTATGTAACATATTTTCATTCTTTCACATAAAAATTTGGTCAAGACAACTCCTAACATAAAATCTTAAATATTTATGTTTATCTATAGCTTGTATATCTTTCGTAATATCTTTTTGTATATCTTTCCTTTTGGAGACGATTAGCTACACCATCGTCAAAACTTTCTCTTGATTCCGAGTCTTTGGTAGCTTTTGCTGAAAAACTCTATTTCTTTCCAGAAGCCACATCTAT